TCAAGGAGGTAAATAGAAGAGTGCTTAGGCATATCTCAGCTAAACAAGCCAAATGCCATGCAATTTTACTCATGCATATTTCACCGAAATCAAATCGAGTTGTATTTGCGTGCATAATGTCCCAAGGCAGCTCCGACACTCCGACGATTCTTTCATTCTAAAGAAAAGAAAACCTCGGTAAAACAAAAAAAGACTGACGTATAAGGCCAAGTCGAAGCACAGTAAGTGTTATTTCAAGTCACAAATGCAAAATACACATGTATTAATATAACAATACCTATTATTCGCTGCGAGCAAGCGTTTGTGTTTCCCCTTCCCCATCTTTCGGCGCCGTAGCTCGTTCTGTGATAAAATAAGCAAGGAAAAACAAAATCAAGCTAACAGCTCACTCGCATTTTATATTTTGAATCGAAATATACAAGATATAGCAGTGAAAATCAACTAGAAATATGCCTCAAGGCGCTAATCTCTTCTGGCTCTATCAATTATGCAACACGACGATGAATTTAATTTGCAAAGCCAAAGATCAAGCCAACGTGTTCTTCTGTTAACCATGACCATGTACCTGAGCAAGATTCTTCCATCTTTTCCCTAAACTTCGTCCTTCTTGAAGACTACGAAGTCCTACCAAGTCTGAATTCTAGTTTCCACTCGAATTCGACCTTCTTTTATTGCCTCAAAGAACATTCCAACGAACAATGCAGTTTTCCTGTTTCCATGCATTTTAATTTTAACGTAGTGAAACGAAGCGTATTCCTTTGTTTTAAACCCATCAATTGCTGTGCTTTGCTACGATCTCAGCCGGACCAGTGACTACGATACGGTTGAAGTAGAATTCACTCCAATAACGGCAGAAAATAAAAGCTTCTCAATAGATTAACTATTGTTTTAAATGCGTTCGTCGTATGGAGCAAGACGTTTGAAACAGGCTACTGAAAACTGCTATAAGGCACGTTCATGAAAGGTTATGTAACTTCAGAGAAGATGTGTATTGGGGCTTGCGTGGTAGTAGCACCTTGTGTAGTCGTGTTGATATTCTTTGATAGTTGCCATTCTAGCAAAGTTAAGATTTGGCTAAAAGTTTAGCAATGCAACCCTGTATAATTTATGTTAGTATATTCGCATCATGTCTAGCGTGTTCATCGGTTCACTAGTTCTTTTTGGTTCTACCTGTATAAAATAAAATTTCTGATCTCAGGAGGAGTAGAGATTGACTAAAACATCACCAGGAGATTTAATCTGTTTGACTCAAATTGTCTGCTCACACAGTGAGACAGACCCCTTCGCAACATTTGTTGATAGCAAAAACATTTTATTAACTGAGAAAAAAATTAGAATATATACAACACAGAACATTATTTATGAGTATTAAAAGTATTCTTAATTATGTATCTTTTATGTCTCTCGTAATTTAACATTACATGCATTATTTATCTCTAAAGTGATCTAATATTTAATAACCTAAAAATCATGTTATTTACATATGCCAAGACATGAAGACCACAATGAACAACGCCTATAAACTATCAGCCAATCAAGCTCTAGGTCCCTGTGGAGCTCCTGTAGTTTTATTGTACAGCCTGATTAAAGCATGTATCCTAGTATCACACAGACAAACAAGAAAATGAGTCTAACATCTGCTCTCAGGATTCTGTTTGCTCCATTTTTAACGCCAGTAACTTCCCGTTTTAAATCATCAATCTCTTTTTGTTGCTTGTTAATCTTAGTCGAGTCCAGTCTTCGATTTCGCTCCAGGTTATCAATCCTTCGTTTCATACTTTCCATCTTTGCCACCCGATCAGCATTGCTTGCGTCATATTTCCTGTGTTCTTCTTGGAACTTTGCTTTGGTTTCGGCGAAATCCTTTTTCATTTTTTTCTGTTTGTCGAGAAGATTGTTTACGTGTGTTTTAAGATCATTTTTAATTCCGTTCACACTGGCATTTATCTTTTTAATGGACGCACGTACGGACCCAACTGAATCTTTAACTACTCGAAGCTCTTTGTGAAGAATCTCGCTAGCTCGTGAGATTTCGTTTACGATGTTCTGTTGTAGTTTCACCCTCGTTTGGTTCAGCTCGTTGCGAATATTCTTTAAGGTTTTGGCCGTATCATTATGAAACTTCGTTTGCTTTTCTTCAACGCGTTTCACTTCAGAGAGCAGAGCATCCGAATGATATGCAATTTTGAAATGAAGTGTCTCATTTTGCTGCGACAACAACTTTACGATATCATCAATCTCTGCGTCTGTTCGCTCCGAAAGACGTCTAAGTTTCGTTATGGTTTTATTCAACTCTTGTCTCAGATCATTCACAGCCGATGTAACGAATGACGTTATATCTAAATGTACGGACTTGTTCAATTGCGCCAAATCGTTTTGCAAAAGGATGATGTCATTTTGAATGGCGTTCAAACTTCCACTGAAACGAGACAACTTTGAGTCCGACGAAACATTCATTCTTGACACATCTTTGCTTAGGTTTCGGACTGTTAAAAGAAGAGCATTCAAATGATTTTGGATTTGCTTTAAGTTCGGTCTCCAATCTCCTTCAGTCATTCGTGTGGTGTTAGAGGAATTAGGAGATTTCATCTGGCGAATTTCCTCCTGAATTGTGTTCACTTGTTCTTTAGTGAACCGTCGCAAGGATTTTTCTGTGTCATTCATTACTTTCATTTGCTTTGAAATAGACGCGAAATTCTCGTCGTCATTTCGTGATTTCTGTTCTAATCTTGCTTCGAGGAATTTAACGTCTCCACGAAGATTGCTGAACTCTACGCCGAGATAGATAAAACCACCAGAGATAATAAGAATGAACAAGATGATTAGAAGTACCTTCAAGAAACATGCTTTAGAATATGATTTTTCTGATGAGTTCTTGCTTTGGAATTCGCATGGCCAGGGGCTCGGCAACGATACCTGAAACTTCTCCATATTCTCTTCTCGGGATGACTAACATCAAAATACCCAACAACCTCGGGTATATTTTGCTTAAAAATCTCTTTGCTACGTTTGCACGTGTCACACTTGTTGCCATCTGATTGGTTCAGCGTGACAGTGGGAAAGTACCTAATACGTGAGCACTGCATTATCATTATTGACATAAATGGATTTGCTGAGTATGCACAAAATGTAATTTCAAGTGTTTTCAATTCGTTCCCTGCTGAGCTTGAAAGCTATTCAGCAAGTCAGTCCTCATTCCGCTCATTCCTTCCAACCAATCTGAAATAATGATAGACGCGCCTCGCACCCCATATAGATTCATGAATTTACATCTAATGCCGACAACACCATCTTGACACGGTCTCCAAAACATGCAGGCGTGTTGCAGTCTAGCATAAACAACTTTGTGTTCAGTTGCTGCCAAATACGGTAGCCACAGCAGGTGTTGAACAGGTTTGATAAGAATGCCTTAAGTTGCAATTTTCAAAACTTGTGCTGCTTAGGTCCAAATGCTGCTTATCAGGACAGTAGACTTTACTTCGAGATCATGTTCAAAATTATTGTAGTTTTCCCGAATGTCTTCCGGGGAATATTCCTGTAAGATCTAAGATCTTGCTCATGAACTAAACAACATATATATAGACAAAAGAAGTGCTAAAAAACTCACCTGGTCATTAATCAATGAAAATTTAAAATAAACACAATGAAACAGTGTCGATCACATAAAAAAACTTTATTATAGTGTTAGACACAAAAAATTACAAATATATTAAACCTGCCATTTTAAGGACTATTTACATGAAATTAATGAAGATACTGCAACGCCTTGCTAACAGGTGTTTTATTAAGTTGATATCGGAGTTGTTTCGGATCAATTTACCTCAAAAACACAACAAGAACTTCGACGTTTCGAGCGAAGAAACTTCGTTAGGAAGGTCGAAGCCCTTGTTTTGCTTTTCAGGTAATATTATATGAATTGAGTTTTTGGTTATTTGTGATTTATTGATGAGCTTGAGAAGTCGTTTCATTGATCCAAAACAACCCGGTGGAGTGCTTCCATGCAGTAGCCTCACTGCCTTATACCGTCTTTAGATGTTTGATCAACTAAAAAGTAAAATCCGCCATATTTATACACCTTATGATTTCATCTATGTCACGCAGTACTTCTTAAACCATTGTGATTCTATATTACAATTTTTAAATATCAGTATTTATCAGTCTAATTACTCTAATATAATCAACCATAGTTTTAATTATCAATTTAGATAATTATGGAAAAGCGCGATAAACACAGTTAAAACAATGAACTTTATATTAGATCCAGTTATTGAATTCGCTCCGTTTTTTAGTTCTTCAATTCTTTTCTTGAGATCTTTAATATCTTTATTTTGCTGGGCTTCCCTCCTTGAATTCAGTATTTTTTCCTGTTCCAGGTTCGCGACCTTTTCTTTCAGTGTTTCCGTTTCCGTCTTTTGTTTGGAAATAGCAGAATCGTGTTTCCTGTCCTGTTCCTGGTAATCTTTGCTAATTTCTTCGAAATCTTTTTTCATTTTTTTCTCTTCCGTTTCAATATCGTTGATCTTTGTTTGTAAATCGTTCTCGACCGTGGCCACTTTTCGACTGAGGTTTGTAACTGAGGATCGCAAAGACGCAATGGAATTCTCAAAAACTTGAAGTGCGTCATGCCAGCTTTTGTTGGCCTCGGTGATTTTATTGTGGAAATTTACCTGTAAAATGTCGCGAGTGCTGTTCAAGTCGCCGCGAAGATTGTTCAAGCTTGTCTTAGTCTTGTTATGAAATTTCAATTGTTTTTTCTCAAGATCTTTGACTTTCGAATACAGGATATCTGAGTGATACGCTATTTTGAAGTGTAACGTTTCATTTTGTCGAGTCATGAGTTTAATAACATCCTCAATAACTTGGTTCGTTTTGTTCCAGTGTCTCCAAAGTTGAGTTACATTTGTCACGGTGGAGTTCAGCGTATCAAAATCTTTCCTCACGTCTTTGACGGTAAAAACGAAGTCGGACAGTTTTCTATGTACAGTGTTATTGTTGCATCATCTCGATGCTAAGTCTTATAAGGTCATATCTCGCCTTCTTTATATTGATGCGCAAATGATTTATTTTCGAGTCTGAAGATCTGTTCATTCTCAAAACACCTTCGCTTAGATTTCCGATCATAGAAATAACGTCATTTAAACGTTCATTCATGTCCTTAAAACTCGCACGTAACTCTGGACCGATGCTTGGTACAGTTATGTTGTCATCTGCTGTTTTTATAGGTTCCTTCGTATTGGCTGACGTTCGACTGTCTATGTACTGCCGCAAGTCGTTCTTCAACGCTGTCTGGATTCTAAATTTCGTCTTATTTGCTTCCCGTAGATTAAACTCGTTCTCTCTCTTAAGAGAATTGATTTCATCATCGTGTTCGATGTCTTTTAGAGACAGATAGCAAACAAAACCAACCAGACCAACGACAACACAAAACAGAAATCCAAAGAACACGCGTTGTACGGAACATTTACCTTCATTGCTTGATGAAGCCATCTCTACTTCCAATTTGCCCATCAAATTTTTTCAGTCTTCGTAGGGAGAGACGTATCACCAAAATACTGAACAATCTTGGCTATATTTTGCCTTTAAGTAGCCACAGCTAGCCATTTGATTGGTTCATATAGTTGAGATACAATGACAAGGGAAAGTCCCTTGAGAAGAGAGGAGGGAAATTACCTCATCACACCGCTTTGAATAAGGACTAAATTAAGGACCTTAAAAGACTAAATTAAGGACCTTAATTGAGGACCATCTTTTCGTAACATTTAACTGCAATGGACTAATGGCTATCTCAAGAAACACCATCCATTACATCATTTTGATTCACTTGTCTTTCCTTTCTAGGGACTTTCCCTTTTTACTGCGCCCTAACAATTGACCAATTAGATAACTAAACGTGTGGGTGACATAAGAAAGTAACAACAAAAACCTGGAGTTATCATAAACTGATATTCATGAATCTGACGAAGGACTATAAAACTGGAGTCTGCATAACTCATCCACTGTACGCGCTTTGCATGATGGATGTCACAATAACAATCAATAATTAAGGTAGCGTATACCTTAAGTAAAGTTCAATAAAAAATCAAATCTATACGCAGCTAAAATTAATTTCTATGTAAGACTAAACATGGGCAAAAACAATTTACTTCCGAGGTCAGAATGGATGACATTCATATACTGAATATGATCTAGTTCAATCTTTCCTTGATTGGTTCATCTTTTCTTAATATAATTTTTTTTGTTCAGCAACGAATTAAACAGATCAACTTTAATATTTCTAGAGTAAGTGAAGTCTTAAACTGAAACAATCTTTTTTCGAAAATGTGCTTGTTCATTCAACGCCAGGTATCTTTTCCCAAGAGGTTGTAAGTTTAGACTGTTTAGTTCGAAAACTTTATCGAGTTTTTCTCTGCATTCAATTGAGCTTTTTGCGTTGAAGCATCCCATCCCTCGCTCTAATTCGACGTCGCTCCCTGTCGACGAGCCTCCGTAACATCCCGATGTCGAACACTCGCTGTCACTCGTCGACCCTTCCGTGGTCTTCGTCACATGTCGTAATGTGGATAAAGATAAAGACTTTTGCCGGATGTTGGCATCTTTTGCCTGTTTGCTCACGTCAGCGTCTATTTGTGACAAAGGACGCTGTTTCCGTGCAGACTCTGATGTCCTTCGTGTGTTATTTCCTTCAACAACTTTATCCTGCCGTCCAGAATCTAAAAGTTGGCAACTCAACGATCTTCTCTCTAACCTCTGCAGAGATGCAACTCTCTTGCGAGAAACGTCGACAATCGTCGTCGATTGTGATCGGCTTGCATTCGCCTTTGGACGGACTTGTCTCGGTGTTGTGGTATCCCGGGGGGCTTCGACGTACTCGAACGATGTCTCTTGTAATCCATGAACGCCATTCTTTATCTTCTTGCTCGAATTTTGTTCATTTTTTATGGGTTTTGGAAGCGGCTCTTTCTTGCGTGTTTCAAAGCTCTTCTCTCGCTCTTGTTTTGTTCGCGTTTTTCCATTGATGAGAGTATCCTTGTTAGGACAACAAGGGTTTGTTAGGGATTTCTCAGGCGAGTCTTCGTGTTCCTCGTTTGCTCCGAATATACCCCCTTGTGCAGCGGCGATTACCTTGAGATCTTGGATATGTTGGTTAAGTGATGTCAGCTGTGTTAACAATGCCTGATCTTGCTTGCGTAGCGACATCTATGAGAGGTAGAAATATAGACAAATTAATAACCTTAAACTGACACGTTAATAAACAAAGAGGATAGATAAAGCAAGTGGTATATTTTAATGAACTAGCTGATAAAAACGAAGAGAATGATATGGTTCTCAGAACGATTAGATCATTAGTAAATGAATATGGTCATATATTTGAAATCATCTTTACCTAAATTTACCTCTCGCCGTTCAAACGTACATTGCTCAATAAAAAAAGTATTTTTTGGTGTTGTTTTTAGGAAATGATTCGTGTCTCTGTTTGCCTTAAGTACATTCATTTCATTGTCTAAAGTCAACACTCAAAGGGCATCCCGTGACGAATTGTTTTTGCAAAGCTGTATTTTAATATCACAAAAAAAATAATTCAACACGCAATTCTCATGGTCATGTAGGCACAGATCAGTAATGCAACTTTGAATTTACCGTCCAACTACGTGCAAGAGAGTAAATGATAAAATAATTGAAGTAAATTTTATGAAAATGAATCTTTCTATCAAAGTTTACGCAGACAAACATGTCTTTAATGTGTAAAAAAAGTCTGGGTGTGGAAACATATATTTGCCAAATATCGCATGCCGGGAAGGTTAAAGATGGTTTAATTGTTACAAGACCTTGTCATCGCCAATTATTGTCTCATCTCTTCCATATGGACGTCATAAAAACTAGGCGTATACAGTCATTTAGTTTGGAAAACCATTTTAATAGCAAAGACAAAATTCCGAATCGAGCAGAGAATCCGTTCGATAACGAATTCTAATAGCACTGAATTACAGTATCGAGCATGGATTAGCGCGAAAAACGTCGTTGATAGTTGCATTATAGGTTCTTTTCTCATAACATTTGAGTACATATTCATGACTGCGTAACAGCGATAATTCACTTACAGTATTACTGTAAATACTGCATCAAACTTAAGAACGAACACAATCTCCTTCAATCAACAGTGGCAATTTCACTCCATGCAGCTCAGTGAATCTCAATTAACTATTTTTTACCCTTCTTCAGCTAGAGTTAGAGATCGGAGACAATGGTAAAACGAGCAAAGCCTGCCTGTGGTTTCGCTTGCTGCCAACGGATTAGCCGGTAATGTAGGAATGTACACAAATATATAAATTAAACCTTTCATTGTCAATCCCGACATGCATACATTTATTTTCCATTTGCCAAACACTTATTAATCGTGCTTCCTGATCGAGTTAAAGGTTTGGCTGGAAATGATTGAAGAGAGCACTTTCCCTCCTTTGTTATTTCACAAAAATGAAGCTATGCCAGGTACAACAATTTTGCAAAAATATCGTAAAACAGCAACAGTCAGCACACTGGAAACATGGAGCTTCTAAGTCAAAGTCGTTCTGAAGTATTTCTACCTGGGCATCTATGTAACGCATGCGTGACAAACACGTTTAAAAGGAGATGTTTCGTTCTTATCTTTCAACACAGATTGCCTTTTTATCTTTCCATATATAAGAATCACGTTTTATCGATTTTTCACGAGTAATTTCCTGCTAACAGCTTTTCTAGGTCATAACGATCGAATATCAAGGATAATGACCTGATGTGCTAAAATATGCAAACGTTGAGAACAAGCAGATATATAAGTACATCGAATAGGATCATCCTCAATCCTATCTTCCTAATTTAGATTACCCAACCTATATTCAGCAGCTTATATCAGGTGTGGCTATCGAGTCTTATTAAACGATAATACTTAATGAAGCTTTTAGGAAAGCCGTCAGAAAATAGACACCATAAACGCCAGCCGAATCTAGGCATTCGAATATCTTTGAAAAACCCACCGGATCTCAGTGACCTCAAATTACCAAACTTAACTGTAGTGATTAGTGTTTGTTGTGACTCGAGGCTACGTTGTTGACATTAGAAGCACTAAGGTATGACTACAACGCTCCACTTCTGAGTTCTGACCAAAGACGTGTGTTTGAAATCAACCGCGCACGTTAGCATCTTGAATACCCCGGCTATTATCCGTAGTAAAATTGATTTAAGCTCATGCGGAAACCGCCACGGCTTGATGGCTATCATTTTATCACTACCAACCCATAATAAACGCTAAATTGCAATAAAATATGCCTTCATTAGCGGGTTCTTTGAAATTAAAAATGAAAGAGCTTTCTTACCATTTCACGTCTCAACGTAGCGATACATCGCCCCAAACGTTTTCCGGGATCTTGTGACTGATCAACTGCTGTTTTTTCATCGACACTCCGACGATCTCGTTCCGTTCTTTTACTTTCGACTGTAAATTCGGGAAAGAAGTCCGATTGCGGCCTGGCGGTATTTACTTTTCTTTGAGATGCGTCTCGTCTTCGTACAACCGGTTTCACCAACCCTTCGTCTCTTCGTTCTTCAAAAACATCCAGCGAAATATCACGAACATAGTTCTTCCTACGCAAGCAAACTTCTGATCGGCTTCTTTCTAGACCCAATGATCTCTGCGTCTTCTTTGTGTCCTGTGTATTATTCACGCCACATCGAGCGACATTGTTTGTAGAACTAAACCCGAGGCTTGTACTTTTTGCTTTTGATCTCTTCAGCAACAATCGTTCTTCCACTTCCTTCAACGGAACAATGGTTTGCGATATTGTTCTTCTCACAACTACAAAATTCCCGGCAGCCATTTTTGAATGAAGGGTTTCTTCAGCCGTCTTCGCGTGGTCCTTGCTCTACATCAAAGTTGTTCAAACGCCGGCTTAGCTCTTGTCAATATTTGAACGTACGTTTGCTAAAGGCTGATGGATCTGTGAAGTCTAGCACCGTGTCATCATCACTTTGCGATGAATTTTTAATTAAATCACTGGCTGTTTGTCAGGTGTCAGCACATTCAGTCAAGTACGGACAAAAGTATTATGTGATATCGCGGCTATTAACCTACTCTTGACGAATCTCCACACAATAGTCGCTTAAATATCACCGTGATTTTAATGACTGTGTCTATTAAATGTGATATTGTTTCACGGACGGCGTTTTCTTTTATTGTGGGCGGATTAAAACAAATCTAATTTAAGCTGACTCAGCTATGACAGAAATGGTTTCATATTTCACTTTTAGGTGGCGTTATTCCGGCATGCCACTTGACTGTTTTGTAGTGTGATAGATGAACCAGTGAATTCTAACACAACATTTTAGATTTCGTTCTTTTGGAGTTTACGAAGATGAACAGAATGTCGGTATTTCTCATTTCTCTATCATCGTCATGAAAGGTAAAGAGAAGAAACATCAAAGTTGATGAGCTTCTTGTCCATAACTGCATAGAAAAGAGTTCATTGCTCACGTTTGTATAAAAAGATAAGCAAACTCTCCGGAAAAACATGAAACAACACTCTTCCCCTGGAACATTTCGAGTGGATTAGGGAAAAGAAAGATAGCATTCATTTATTTATTTATTTATAATTATATAAAAGGGTATTAAGGGATCGTTGCCCCGAAGTACAGGACCAATGAGATGACAAATAAGCTACGTTATAAGGATTCTATTCTGTATGGAGGAAGACTTCGGAGTGAAGTAAAAATTCACAGTTTAAACTTAACTCTCTCTGTCTGTGACCACCATGGACCAGTGGTCACCACTGACTTTCCGATGACCACTGAGCTATATAGCTCAGTGAGTAATGTTTCCACAAAGGACCATTCTATTTTTAAATTTTTTTTTAATTCGTTTCCTTTTTGACGGCGGAAACAGCGGAAATATTCTCGACGCGCGAATGTTTTGAAAATATCTACGGAGCAATCTGATTGGTCAAATGGCTATTTCGACGAGATTACTTCCGGTATTGTTCCTGACGTCATGTTGTGATGGATCTTCGCTTTGAGAGAAGTAAAAATTTCTGAAGATATCTTGGCCTTTGGTGAGTAATCTCTCGATTTCTTTGCAATCATAGCAAATAATTTGCATTTTTTTCTTGAAAATAAAATGCTGAATGATTTTTCCAGCGAAATCTGCGCTTATTTCCTTAAATCATTTTCGTAAACGTTAAGAATTCTTTATCGACCTGCGTTCTGTTGTCTTGCATTTTTTGCATTTCATGCAAAATTCTGATGTTTATATAGGCATATTTTCCAGTAAACTATGCCTGTATTCTCTCAGGGAATCTTGTATTTTTTAGCTAATCACACAAAACGGGATATCCATGCACTTACTGCTCGTTCTTGCTCAATTTTTTTCGAGGTTTGAGAAATATCACGACGTATGTAAATACGACTTTTATCCACTCGATTCGCGGAATCGTTCAGCATTTGTGGTCAAAAGCTTCCTTTTATATACCTTAGGACTATTAATATTCGCTTACAACGATGCAAACACAACAATTCTACCCAGATCTAAGATTTAACATTGTTGCTTTGAAAAAAAAGAATGTAACGTAGAATAGTATTCAAAATTACACCGCTTCACTTCCTGTCAACATCAATACGGTTTGTAAATTTCAAACCTTGTTCAAATCCTTTTCTTAACCGTATCATCTGTGAACGTTGTTTCCTAACTATGTAGTTAAATGATTGAGTAAGGTTTCCTTTCTATGTTACTGCTTGTGCAGAAGTGAAAACTCGTGGGGGATACGTAAAATATTCACGGATATTTACTTTTCTAACACACAGAATATGCCTACTTCAGTTTTCAAACATGATAGGAATTTGCCAACATATTTGACACTTTATAGTACATGTCATAACAGATGTTTTAAGGATATTTCTGCCCCCAAGTGTACAGTACAGATATGCAAAACAATGCAATATTTACTTGATATACAATATTACCTTCCCATTTTGCAACTTTCCCTAACATTCCTGCTGTGTCTCGCAGACCTGTAGGCTGTAACGGTTTCGTTTGTTGGCAGGTGTGCAAGCATCAGGGCCATGTGATTGGATAAGATGAAAAGAACTCGAGAAGAGCACGAGAAAGTTTACGGTCAACACAGGGCATTTTCGCATCCAGTTTTAGCACCAGCTCCAGTTGGCCTTCCTGGTAATTTTGATCCAATACAAGAAAATATTGCTGTATCCATGGGACAGTATCAGTCTAATCCACAGATACCTCCTCAAAATTATCCGTAAGTTATCTTTATACTTTTACTATAGCTTGAGATCAAGAATGGAGAGTGTTGTGTTTTGAAGAGACGCCTTTGTCTGTCATACTAAAATACTTTGTGTCATACTCTGTCACACCAATTTACTCTGTGTGCGATTGATTGTTCTTATTCTCTAGGGTTGCAGGACCTGCTGGTCCAGGACAAGGTCATAGTCCATTGCCTTCTCATCCACAGGTAAAAACAATACATGAAAATTTAATTTCAAGTGATTCATCTTGTTGAGAAATGAACTGTTAATCAGTTATATGATATGAAATGTTTTATTTCTAGGCTCACATTCACCCGCCTGGAGCACAAGCTCATATGCAGGGACCAGGGGGCCCCGGGCAGCAACAATTTCAACGACTAAAGGTCAGTCAAATGAGTGATCAACATCAACATTCTACCAAGTGCTGATTACTGCTTTAGGAAACATGCCAATGTTCCTAAACCACCATTTCCATCTTTGCTTCAGGTTGAAGATGCTTTGTCCTACCTTGATCAAGTGAAAATGCAGTTTGGTAATCAACCTCAAGTGTACAACGACTTCTTGGATATCATGAAAGAATTTAAATCGCAAAGGTGCTTACAGATATGCTCAGAGTTTTACAATAACATCAAAAGGATGTCCTTGAACTGTTATAACTAATCATCTCATATATTTTTTTCTTTTTCTCAAAGTATCGACACACCAGGTGTAATCAGCCGTGTCTCAAACCTCTTCAAAGGTCATCCTGAATTGATTGTTGGTTTTAACACCTTCCTTCCTCCTGGCTATAAAATAGAAGTTCACCCTAATGATGCAAACTCTATATCTTACACAACCCCACATCAAACAACTTTACAGAAGACGTCATTGACTGGTCAGTCTGTGCATACGGTAGGTGCTGTACTTAGGAAATGCTGGTGCATTTACGGGGGTGTCATTTGAGGGATGTCGTTGAGGGGTATTATTTGAGGGGTATTATTTGAGGGGTGTGACAAGATGTGGGGAGAGTAATTTATAGTTTGTCATCTTTTGGAAAATAGATCAGCCTGACGGGCAATCATGGTGCTCATAATGTATCCCATGTTCCATCCTTCCCACTCCATCCTTCGTCACAACAACCACAGCAACAGCAAGCCTCTCAACAACCACCCACAACTCATGTCCAGCAACAGCAGTCCCAGCACCAGCAGTTGTCAACATTATCGCAACATGCAACGTCTCAACAACAGGGGAAACTTCCAACCAACAATCTTCCACAACCACAGCAGCCAATAACGCATCAGAATCAACAACAACCAAGAGGTCTTCATTCACCTCCAACAAATCAAAATCAGGTATGTACAGAGTTGTATAACATTGCTATCTGTCTGTGCATGTCACCATCATTACTTGGTCCACTATTAGAACTACCACTGCTGTGTTTTGACCTGTATCATCATTGATTTTCAGCCTCAACAACCAGTTGAATTCAACCATGCAATCAATTATGTAAATAAAATAAAGGTATGTAGATAAATGGGTAAAAAACTTTATTACTGTGTCAAAAATATCTAGCCAGTTACAGCAATAACCTACTAATTTATGACGCTAGGCATGTGCATCATTCACCAGCTGTTTAGGGCTTCAGGAGACAACAATGAAGACTTGTTTTCATTGTTTATTTCTAGACTCGCTTCCAAGGACAGCCAGATACATACAAGGCTTTCTTGGAAATACTGCACACATATCAGAAAGAACAGAAGAACATCAAAGATGTATGTTTGCTAGAATTTTAATAATAAAAAGAAAATCCAAGTCTAAAATAACATCTATGATTGTTGATATAGGCTGCCTCGCAAGGAGGAATCATAGACCCAGACGTATGTATACAGAATCATCTTAAATCTGTTTTCCTACGTATTTGATGCTTGAGGATTGCTGAAATAAATTTACTTAACTTAGCATATATCTGGCTACGGCATTGAATCTTTTCCTTTATTTTCAGGGACCACATATCACGGAGCAAGAGGTTGGTTGTCAAAGACACTGCTTAGAAATGCTTAACTGAAATCAAATTGTTTAGTGCAATATGAAGTAATATAATGCATTCCTGTTGCATTTAGATGTATGTGCGTGAAGCAAAACTTGCAAACGATGTTTACAAACAAGTTGCAAAACTGTTCAAGAATCAAGAAGATCTACTTCAAGAATTCAGTCAGTTTCTTCCAGATGCTAATGGTGCTCAATTGAGTGGATTGGTGCGTTTCTTTTCCAAGAATTTGCCAGCAATATTTCTTTTTCCCCCGTTCTTCATGTTACAATAATTCTCTCCGCAGAGTGCTCTTTCGAAGCGAGCTCACCATCAGATTTCAAATTTTACGTCATCGTATGGTCCGCCGAGTAAAAAACAAGCATGTAAGTCGAGATCTTGTCAAATCATAGCTCAAATATTCCGTCTGTAGTTGAAACGATTCGTAATTAACATACCTGGTTTGTTTACTGTAGTGAGTTCAAACTCTGTGAAGAGAAATCTTGGCCAGATACGAAGGTCATCCACCTCTCTCCAGGGCAAGGTAAGGCTGACGAAAATGAAAGGTTTTGTCGTTTCGCTGCTTGTAAAGTTTCCCAAAATTCGCGAGGATGTCCAGGCATTAAGTTGAAAGACGTTATAACTATGTTTTTGTTTAGGTGAAGTCAAAGTCATCTGGAATAAAGGAGATAAGTTTATCTGATCCAACTAGTTTTGGTTCCGTTGCAGAGTTCGCTTTCTTTGACAAGGTATCCCACGTTTAACATCACGATTTCTAGTCCAGGACAGCTTCTTAAACTGTCTGTTTTTCCAGGTGAGGAAGGCACTGCGCAGTCAAAAAGTTTAC